ATAAATAGTTTCTTTGAAGTCATTATTGGTAGAATTAGAAAATAAATATTCATTAACAGCTGAAAACAATGACGCATTAAGTTCCTTAGAAAAATCAAAATCTAGAAAATCAGGCAAAATTGTTAGAAAAAAATATTCACCACAGTTGAGAGCTTTTGCACTCACCATAAATTACTGAGCTAAATGTTTTGCGTACATAGTTATAAGCTAAGGCTTATAACTATGTACGCAAAACATTTAATACTTCTTTACCCACTGTAAAAACACTAGGAAAGTGGTACAGATCTGTAGATGGTTGCCCAGGTTTTAAACACAAACATTACGCAGTTTTGTTTATGAGGATATTTTTCATGAAATACAAAAATCACCAATTCGATCACGAAAGTTGTAATCATGTCATTGATTTAGCTAAGAGTGTTATGGAAAAATACATAGACATACTCCTAAGATTACTCTACTTATCCAGGAAGACAGATCCTAAGAATTCTGTGAGACAATTTTATACTAAGATTATCCATTTTAAAAATCAGTCAAATATATATTTATAAATTAAATGTACAAATATATGTATACATTGTTTAATTTTTTAATAAACATAAAATAAAAATTGATCAATATATTTATTTATCATTATCAATAATCAATAAATCCCAAATTTATCGATCAACGTCTCAACCCTGTTCCATCACTATGGTTTGGTACATTCTAAGTTTGACCTTTAAATATCCAATCACAGCGCATTTGCCACGTCCCCCGCAACCCTTGCATGGGACCAAATTTGGTGAACTCGAAACAGAACAAATATCCAATGATGCGGTATCTATTAGGGGGTAATCTGTGAGTAAAACACTGCACTGCACTTGCAAGGCCCATTAAGGGCGGGACAGACGGGCGATTAACCTAATCTATTACAAAATTTGACTTGCAATAGGCACCTATCATGTCATGATGTTTTGTTTTGTTTAATCGATAGTTAAATGTAAGTCATACTTACATCAAAGTGATCTTCACAGAAGTATAGTTTAGATTTTGTAGACAATGCCTTCGGGTCTCTTCTTGCCAGTTTTAACCAAGTATTTCTCATATTTAAATCAGTTGGAACTTTAATCCATAACTTCCCCGCTGTTCTTATGCTCGTATTTTTGCAATCAGGCAAAACACGACAATGATATAGATGATGACCCATTATTAAACATTCAAAAGTATCTTATTCCTTTGCAAAATTGTCAAAATTCTAGGACAGTGATGTCACGAGTTGAACAGTATGGCGGCTAGCGTTTTCACGCGAAAATTTAAAACGATAGATTAAAAGTAATTTTTATGTCTCTATTCGGTTTTAAAAAAATTAGGTACGTTGGGGTAATACCGGACGGATTTTCGAATAGTTGGAAGAGTCTGCCAAAAACTTTAATTTCTCGACATTCGTATACGTCAGATTTATGGAACATGGAGCAAACCGTTAGTCGTTAAACGTCGTTTAGCTCTGAGAATCTTTTGCTTGTGTAAACTCAACGGTTTCTGCTTTAAAGATATGCGAAAACTAGACATACTTTTTTATATGCATAATGAAAAATTGGCCATTAAGGGGTAAGACCGGACTTAAATTTAAAACCACTTCTACTGCTTAGAGAAAAAAGTTTATAAAAGAGATTTGTATGATGATGTTTGTATGAGATGTTGAGAGAACGCTCAAAAACATATTTTAATATGATCTATAAATTACCAGAAACATAAATGTTCCCAATGATTTTATCTTTTTTTGTTTCTTGTCATCCGATCTTATCCCTGATATAAAGAAATTGTAATTTTATGGTTCTCAAACTTTGTTATGACAAGATGGAATTACTCAATGTAAGGGAAAATCGGATGCATTTGATTTTTTTTGGGAAAAAAATTAACAGTAAGGACTGGTGAAATGGGATAATACAGGGGTAGAGGTTGATAGATTATTTTGTGTGCATATTTGTGTTTGTGTATCAATAAGCAGGCGTGAGCCTATTTATAGAGTTAAGTAGAATTATAATAAGGGCATGAAGTCGGAAAAAGTAAAGCAAAGTTGACTAGACCAGGAAAAGGAACGTGGGTTGAAAGTTTCCCGTCAAACTGAATTACTTTATCTAATGAGATAAATATGTAATGAGATGAGATAAAAGTTACCTGATGAGATAAATGTATCAAAGAATAATTTTTGTAAGGATAAAACGATAGACAACAATCAAAACCAAGAAAATAATATGCGTTTGAGAATATTTTAATTATTTTTTCTTTATTATTCATAACTTTTTAGCATAGCTCACTAAATAAGTATTATTAATAAACTTAACTACTACACCACTTTATAAAAATTATTACGTAAATGTATCTTATTAATAACAATCTATATTGATCATAAGCCTATTAATATTACTTAACCTTCGTTTTGGCATTAGATTGTATTCTAGATTAAGTATTAAAATAAGTACTTATCAATAAATAAATGCCCTATCGAAACAGGTCTAATACCGTTTTCAACTAGTTTGCACATAATTTTCGCGTTTCAGTCTTTATAAAGAGTAACAAAATAAACAAATAAAATATTTAAAAATGAGATCAAAGAACGTAACAATATTATCATAATCTAACATAATAAATAAACTCTTCATTAGGAAATTTCACAGGCATTTTATCAAATTAAAATATTTTTTCAATGAACCTTTATAAAAATTATCGAGTAAATGTATTTTGTTATTAACGATCTATGACAACTATTTGGCATAAACGTACGTACTACCGTTTTGGCATTAAATTGTTCTCTTAGAGTTAAGTTACAAAAATAATTAGACATAAATAAATGCTATATCTTTAAAGCGATTAACACAATAATATAAATTAAAAACAAATTATGCGGGTATCAAAAAGTTATACCTACACTAAAGTTCAAAATATATAACTTCAAAATTATTAACTCCTCTTTAACCAAACTTTACAGGGGCGCTACTGAATTAAATATTTTTTTTTTATTTTGTTCGGCGCTGGACAGTATCTTGTAAGTGTCCAGCTATTAGATAGAAAATAAATAATGTTTCTTTTTTTTTTTTAGTTTTACTTAAATGTAATCTACTGTTACTGTTACTGTCATGTAATGATGCCATGCCAGGGCAGTTTAACTCTAAGAAAAAATTATAAATAATGTAAAAACACGGCATTTATAAAATTCAATATTTTAAAAATAAATTGCATCTTCGTCATTCATAAGGATGTACTCCTCAGGATCCTCCTTTATTTGTAGTAACTCTATTTCCTTAACTATGTTATAATCGGGAATACAATCTTGATCCTTCCGCTTAGGAATAACAAATTTCACGTCATCTTTTTTTCCAATGGTTTTATAATACGTTATGATGTATTTTCTTGGGTTTAAATTAATATTCTCAATGACACCGGCATAATATTTCCAAGCCTTTTTATAGTATCGAACTAGAACTTTATCCCCAATATTGTATGTTGGTTTCAAATTAGTAATATCATTATCTTGTCCGACGTCAGTTATATGAATTTCAATATGAAAGTTGCCACAGGTGTTCATTTGATCTTTTGTCATTATTTTTACCGGATTATCTTTATTTTTTATTTTTTTCTTAGATGTATGACCTATGTCTGTATTTTGTAGTTTTTTCTCATTTAAATCTATAAATATATCCCTATCTAGGTTAATAGGTTTAAGTTGTAAGCTTCCATGAGTTTTGTAGAAAGCTTGGTTTTCAGGTGTCAATTTTACGGATGATAACATAGTCACTTTTTGCGTTGCCTTGTCTAAAGTATTTATATCATCGCTATCTTTGTCTTTCCAAATATCTTTTGTCTCAATAATTTCGTCGCAGGTGTTGCAAGTCTGTGCGGTTTTTTCTACTTCCTGTAAATTTTTAACAATTTGTTTAATTACCTGATCTTTAGATAGTGGTTCTAATTCAATCTTTTTTCTCTCATAATTTAAGTCAGTCTTATTCCATGTATCAAAGTTATTAGGTAATATATCACTGAGGCAATCTAATAAGTCAGAATCACTATGTACACTCATTTCAATGCTTTCATCTGTCGTGGTAATGCTAGGAGTCCTCTTACGTTTTGTTACAGACTTTTTTGTCGTAGATTTTTTTTCCTTCTTTTGTGATGCCCATTTGTTTTTAGTCTTGGTTTTTTGTTTATATCAGGGTCGTTTAAAACTGTTAAATCCATTAAATCGTTTGTTAAATTGTGAGAAAAATAATTCCTATCATCTCCAGAAATAATATTTTCTTTGTCAGTCCGAGTTTTCTTTCCTGTACCTTTTCCTTTTTTAGTAGTATATCTGTTATTATTTGTCTTGTCTGTCAAACATTTGCTTGTTTTTTCTCTTTCTTTTGCCAGTTTTTGTTTATTTTTCTCTTGTTGTTTTTCTAGAAAAGATGCAGTAACTACTTCCGCACCCTTCGCTATACGTTTTAATTTAAATTTCGTATTGGTCTGAGGATGCTGTGTAGCTTTTGCGAGAAGTAATTCTTCGAAGGAAATGTTTACTGGATGCGACTGCTCGATGCTCTCTTTAGAGTTCAGATTAAGGGAATTCATTGTTTCAGAATGAGGGAAGGTAGTATTTAGAGCAGAAACAGAGCTGTAATAAGACATGATTTTGTTTATTTCGTCTAAGCTTATTTGTTTCAGGGATTTTGGTTGATTGCAAGTCGCTTGAGATAATGTGTGCTTTTTCCATCGCGCATATGCTTTAGGGTCATACTTTTCTTTTGGTATTATATCGGCATTGAAAGGGTAAATGCCGCCTTTTCTGAAACCATTTCGGATCATCTCTGGTTTCGTTTCTTGCCACGCTTCTGCAAACATTTCGGAAAAAAATTGTTTCCGTAATTTGGAACCAACGTTTTGCCGCTGCCATTGTACGAGTTTCTTGTCCCAGATGGCTTTCAATGATTTGAAGACGGACAAATCTAGCGGTTGCAATAAATGCGACGTGTGCGCGGGGAACTTTAGTATAGTAATATTGTTTTCAACGCTAAAGCTACCACTTTATCATCAACATGACTGACATGTCCATCGTACAACAACACTATGGGTCTTTCTTCACCCAAATTGGGAATAATTACGTTTATCATGTAGTTATAAAAAATGCTGGTTTCCATCCAGCCCCGATGACTGGCAGCGTATGTAAGTTTGAAATTATATTTGTCTGGATTCTTCACCATCCACTGTTCATACATATGTTTGCCTTTAAATATAATCAATGGGTGTAACTTTTGCCCAGCCGCATTCACAGTAGTCAAGACTGTGATGTTTTCTTTTCCATTTCCATACGTCGTTCGTGTACAAGGCTTCCCTTTGGCACCTACAACTTTTGTTTTTGTTGGGTCGAGACAAACAGACGTTTCATCTAAGTTCCATATACGCTTAGGATCAGTAAGATTCAAGTCACGGAAAGTCTTTTGTAAAAGAGCAAAATATTCGTGGATGACAAATGGATCAGTCATTTTTCTTCTAAGGTACTCGACTGCTTGCGGTTTTTTTATTGATAAATTGTGCCGCTGACGAAAAGAAATGAACCAATCAGGCCCGGGTCTGCCATTTTTGAAGGAATTATCTAAGTTATTGCTTATGGTGAATTCCTGAGCTACATCGAGTACCTCTTTTCTGGATAAGCCCCAACCCCATTTTTCCATCACACGAAGACAGTTTGCAAGCTTGATTTCCAATTCTATTGGGATTGCGGTTGATCTGCCGAGGGTCTTGCTTTTTGTTGCTGTTTTTTTCAAGACTCTATCACTCAGCGTGGATGTCGGTATACCGTATATTCGTGAAGCGGCTGCGTAGGAGAGTTCCTTAATTTTAATTCTTTGAATGGCAATTTCAAGGACTTCTTGTTTGTACGAAGTCGCCCGCGTTGTAGTTCTAGTATATTTTCGAGGCATCTGCGGATAAAATTTTAAAGTAAGTAATGTGGTAGTGGCACTGAGTGCATCACACCATAAACCAGTTCAAATACATCGGTATCGCACAAAATATATAAGTATATATATATATATAATAACTAAGTCCTGTCAAAACTAGAACCGATTTTGAAGTTGAAGATAAGTTGTAAGATTAGTTTCAAAATAAGTTTTGTAATTATCAGTAGTTGAAAGCCATTGAGTTAATGAATAAATATGCAGGTAACCCTTAGTAAAGCTAAATATGACAATAAAACGCAAGTTAGCAGAATATAAAAATGAACATTTTAATTTTAGAGGTCATTCATCACCATATTGCTTCGAAATGCAAATAATTATATATTTATTTTAATGTGTATTTAAAAGTACTAAAACCATCGTATTGTGTTATTACTTTTAAATATTCTGTATATTTAATAACAATACTGAGTCCCATAGTCACTTGAGTAATCTCCGAAAAAATATACACGACCAATGAAAGTTTAACAACCACTGCCATATTTGTAACGGGCAAAGATCGGATAATATTCATCCGATCTTCACTCACGCGGGGAAACATCGGATCTCGGCCTACAGCGATCTTAGCCCTGCTTGGACCAGCTTTATCTAGCTATAACTTCATAAAACTTAGTATTCACACAAAATAATAACAAAATAAGCTATATTCTCGCTAAAAATCATAAATAAAAGTGATAGGGAAAGATCGGATGGACAAAATAAATACAAAAATTACCTTGTTTTATAAAATGCCGCGCAGCACACATCCTACTTGCCGGAGCGACTGGCGCGAATTGAGGGTCGGGGCAGGATGAAATGGCGTCGTGTAGCATATTGTTAGCTTTTCAAAATATAGCATAATTCGCCGGGAATTTGAATCCTACGGTCTTGCCCCATCACCGATCTTACCCCAACGTACCTTATATAAAAATTATAATGGTTCATTATCACTCTAGGATTCATTTAAAACACTTTTTGAAAATTGGTGTTAACAATGCGAAAGAGGAGCAATGTTAATTTTCATACGATTAACATACGCCTTAAAACATTTTTAACATACCTTGTGGTCAATATTAAAATAAGGGCCGGTTTCACCACCTGTTATTAAAGTACCGAATAGCCTATTTGATATGTCAAATAAGAACTGTCAAGCTCACACAACAACTGTGAAAAAAGTGGAAATTTAATTGACGAATAGGCTAACCGGAGATGGTGAAATCGGCACTAAAACTATTTTACTATTTACCTTAAAGAACAAAAAGTAAGTACTCTTTTTAGCAAGGTGTGTTCAATATTACTTATTTATTTACGTACTACAATTTACTTTATAAAACAAATAGATACTTACGTAGTAAATTAACACGCGCGCTTCAATATTTATATGATTAATCTGCCCGACTAAAAATCACGTCACTTTTAAATTTAAAAATAGAACCAACTTGTAGTCTTAGCATATATTTCATATAAATAGATAAAACATTTTAATTCTGTATCACTTATTAACCGCAACATTATTCACGAATATGACAAAAATTTGTCTCTACGGCAAAACATTTTTACTAGGAGTCTTCTAAATAAGTAAAGGAAAAATAGTACAATATATTGCTTACACATGATATTTAAGGGATTCCCCTAAAATTTCGCGTTGTACGAATGTAGCTAAAGGGTATTCCTCCGAAAGTTTGAGGGAAATCGCCATCAAACATAAACAGACAGAAAGGGTTGCCAGTTCAGATATGTAAAATCGGCAGATAATTCGGATGAATTTTTTTGGATTCTAGTTTCTAAATTCTAGTCTAGATGGTTCCTTATTTCCTATTTAGGTATTTCTTCTTCTTAGTGTTCCACGAAATTTCAAAAGTATCGATACTTTACTCGATACCAGTATCGTATCAGATTTATTGATACCGGGAAAAGTATCGATACAAAATTATCGATATTGTTAGGTATCGACTATCAAGTACTTTTCAATTTATTTTTAACACTTCCGATTGAGTAATATCCGTAATATCAAATATTATTCAAATTATATAATCAAGTAAAATATCAAATATTAATTTCGGAACTAGACGAAAGTTATACAAACTTTATAATGAAAGATCATATAATCATAGTGTTATATTTAGAGAGTATGTAAAAACATATTCTTAAATTTTTTAAAAAGTATGCTCCACAGCTAAGACTACATTTAAGCAACAAAATTAAAACTGCATCCGGTAAAATTAAAATGACATGGATTATAATTAATAGTGAAAAGGGCAAGGTCAAACCACGGAACTCGGATTTTGAATTGAATATTAACAATAATTTAACTCAATCTGATCAAGAAGTTGCTATGGCTTTTGAGAAACACTTTACTGATGTTCCTTCTTTGACAACAAAATCATTAAATTCTTCTCCTACTGTCGCGGAATCATTGCTTAAACAAAACGTAAAGCCTTGTTCAAACACTTTTAAATTCCATAGAGTATTGCCAAAAGATATCGTTAAATATTTTAAAACTATTGATATTAAGAAAACGGCAGGCTTATGGGGTGTTTCCGTTAAAGTTATTGCCTCTTTAATAATATATAGGTACTGTAGCATCTTATCTAGCCACAACAAAGATAGTTTTAGTAAAAAAAAAAAATGATATACACTCTGTAGACACTAGGAACAAACACAAGCTAGTGATACCGGTCTCTCGACTCCACAGAGTTAGTAATTTATTCTTGGGCAATCTATACGCTATTACAAAGTCCCAGAAAATATACAAGGTATCTCTATTACCAAGTTTAAATATATAATTAAACAAAAACTCTATAAAAAGGGTTATTATAGTATAAATTAATACATGGTTGATATTATCCCTGGTAATGATGTGGTTCCTTCCAAGCTGTTTCTAAAATAAATTTTTAAATAGTTTCTAATCATTTATATTGTAAAATTTATTTAAAAAAAGTCCCGCTGGGTTTCTTGTTGGTTCTTACCAGGACAAAGGATTTTTTCGAACCAGCGGTAACGTAAAAATTACTTTCAATAAGAATTACTTATAATCAATATTGAATAAAAAATTATTCTATTCTAAGTCGCCCCTGCGGCAGGGCGGCAGGGGCCCAAGACCTTCCTTGCTCCCTAGACCATAGCTGCTGCAGTCATGTGTGTAGCGCAATTAATGCAATTTCAATCAGTTCGTTAGCAACTTTCGCGCAGAGCACACGTGTGAGTACAAGTCACAATGGATACCCATAAATAATGTGGAATTTGTACACTGGTGATAGAAGTGTATAAAGAGCGGCTTGTTCACCTAGTATCTCCTTTTTATTTATTTTTTGCGGTAGCACCGCAGAAACAACGTTATTTGAACGTTGTAACGTTTTTAAACGTGGTAGAGTCATGCTGCAGCTTTTAAGGACTATTTTATGGTTGTAATTATTAATTAATAAGTTGTTTTATCAATAAAATCTATGGGCCATAGTATCCACTTACCATCAGATGGCCTGTGATCATTTGTCATCCGCCTTATTCTATATAAATAAAAAGAGCCAAGGCTATATATACCGATTCATTGATATTTCGATAAAACTGGCACCATACTCAACGCGTGTCCAGCGGAACGTACACTCTCAAACTGAACGGCTGTGTGTAGTGACAGTTCTGACTGATTTTGCACCGATCGCTGTTCACCCTAGATTGCCCCTGCGGCAGGCAAGTGAGTAGCCGTCTTTACTTCAACGGATTACGAAACGAATGCCAGCCGGTGCCTGAGCAAGACCGCAAGAGATTTATGAATAGATCGAATTGAGAGTCAATCCTCTCCTGTTACACGTACCTACTATGATAAACGAGTAACTAAAGTACGGCCAAGAAGTGATACAAAATATAAATAAAACCAATGCAAGGTTATTAGGAATAGCAGGGGTACCTAACTTTTTGATAGTTAAATTATATATTTAATTAGACAATATAGTTTTAAAAAATGTCTAGCAAACCAAAAAAATAGACTATTTATAAATTTTGTTATAATTTGAATTATTGTATAATGTAGATTTAAATTAAATAACGAGAATAATAATAATGTTTCTGAATATCGATTGCCTAACCGGTGTATGGTAACAGGCTTGCCCCTTGTTACATAGGGACTTAAATATATCAGACAAAATGTGGGTGTTAATATCTACCCCTTAGGGGATACAGGACTGATGATATGTTATGCTATGTTTATGGAAATGAGGATATAATTATTTTTGAGGGAATCATTGTTTATTCAGTCAGACGCCGATCCTTCTGAGTCTGTAGAGTCAAAATCAGAGTCTGTAACACGTATAATAAATTTATCCGTCACGTCATCTACAATAAAATCAAGTTTGAAAAACGTATCTTTTTTTTTTAAACATGCTCCACACATTTCTTCCACCGATCAGGCGTGACTTTCGCCATACCGTCACTTAATAATGCCTTAACTTTTTCAAATTTAAACTTAGTTTTGTTTCTAGCTACGTGCCCCTTTACATCAGCCCAAATCAACTTAATGGGGTTTAATTCACAATGATAAGGGGGAAGTCTTAGTACCTGGACGCCGTATTTCTTTGCTAATTCGTCTACGACGTATAATTGATATTGGTCCTTCACCATCTTTACTTTATTTTTTTATTTCCTTTTCATCGAAACTAATATTTTTGTCACGTAGCCACTGTTGAATGTTAGCCTTCAACCATGTTGAGCGTGTTTTTCTTGCCGCCTTGAGTGGTAAGGCGCGTTATCCATGACGACAAATGCATTCTCGCTTAATTTGGGCAATATCTTCTCAAACCAGCTTCCAAAATGTGCAGCATCCATTGATTCGTGATAACCACTAGTGCCTTTGGATTCAAGCACTCAGCTACCGTCTTCCACAAAACTCTCCTCATTTCCAATGTGGACTACGATTAGTCGTCGGCCTTTGAGGTAGGATTCTTCGCACCTGTACTCAGACCTTCTAAAAACGCTTGCCGTTTTGATTTTATTTCGGTGTCAACCCAAGTTTTATTAACAGTGTTACCTGAAAATAATCTACAGGATACAATAAAACATGGGCAATACTACAAATAATAAGCTTACACAAATTTTCAGGCAGAAATACTTGGTTTTGATTAAGCGCCGAAAGATTTCTACTGAAGATAGAAACTCTCTGCGCACAAGTGTAACTTAAAAAAAAATGATTGACCTGCTTTCACCCATGTTTCATCCACATAAAAAATATGCCTGTACTTCTAAATTTTATGTAAGTATTTTCGTCGTCACAATACAATATCAACTCTATCTACCAGTGTATTATTTCTTTGCCTCTTTGTATACTTAAATTTAAATGTTTTAATATTTTTTGGAAAGTAGTCCTTTTGAAATTTGGTAGAGTATCGTCTTCATTAATATCAGAAAGTACTTTTTTCACTGTAAGAAGTTCGCCTTTAATAAAGAACGCATGTACTTTTTTGCGTATGGCTGATTTATAGTCCGGCCGCTGAGTTGAATTGACAATACTAGTGAAGTGACTGAACCAGTAACCCTAATATCATTTGGGATCAGTTTGTTTTTAAATATTCTAGTACAGTGTGTAATTAAATAAAATCAAAACAATAATAGTTAAAGACACAGGTTCTTTATTAGGTGGAGTATCCTTGATGGGCGTAGATTATTGGTCGAGGACATATCAAAATAAAACAAATTTGTAAACACTGTTACACATTTTAATGAATAGAGTAGGTACAAGATGTTTTAATAAATGACTACCTATCATTTATTAAAACAATTATTCAGACTCTGAACCAGATTCGTCAGAGCTGTCATCGCTATCAGTCACTTGTATGACAATTTCATTCTCTATAATGGTGTCCACTCTTATATCGCGTTCATAATCTTCTGTTATTAGTTTTCGAGTCTTTTCGACGACCTTGACCCAATCTTCTTTCGCAAGCATCTTTTTCATCTTTCTTTGCTGCAAGCATCTTTTAATAGACCCATCATTTTATTAGTACTGAATGGCGGAGTCGTATTATTACGAGCTGCGTAACCTGTAATGTAAACATTAAATAACGTTAATTTATTACATTAAATAAACGAAATGTTACACAATTACCTACATGTAAGGGACATGAGATATTTATTTCTTAGTTATGTATCTTTTTACTTATATGCTGAATATTGGATGTTATAATAGTACAAATTATTAATATTCATAACTTATGCGATAAAAAACAATACCTTTGATTTGTGCCCATATTAGCTCAATGGCATTGTACTGGCAGTGATAAGGCGGAATTCGAAGTACCCGATGTCCATGTGCTAGAGCTATCTCATCTACTTCATAACGGACTCTTGATGTTTTATTTTCGCGTACCAACTTTACTAAGTCAGACTTTAGCATTTCGACAGTAGTTTCAATTCCATTTTGGTGTAGCCATGCTACGAGATCGGCTTTCTTGTCGGCCTGAGTAGGCGCTTTATTCACTTGTTTCGAGTGATATGAAGCGTTGTCCATTATTATGATAGAAGGCTCTGGCAGGCTGGGTAATAATTGATTGTCGAACCAATTCGTAAAAGTGTCTGTATCCATCTCCTCGTGGTAATCGGAAGTACTTTTTGACGCGAAAGCCAGCAGTCCATTTTCAAAGAAACCACTTCCAGCAGAACCGGCGTGACAAATTATCAGTCGCGATCCTTTTCCAATTGGAACCTTTGAGGTTGATGCTTTTGTTTCGTCAGTCCAAGAGCGTGACACAGTGTGGTTCGCATTTAACCATGTTTCGTCAACAAAAACGAAGTTGTCCCAAGACTCGATTTTTCTGGCTTCTCTTAAAAACTCGCTCCTTTTAATTATTAAATCAAATCTTACCATTAATATTTTCATTTTATTCGTTTTTTTATATTCAAACCCAATTTCGTGCAATAGTTTTGACAACGCCGTTTTACCGCCTTTAAACAAGCCAGCTTCTTTTAAAGAGACCAAAAGCAAACGTCTAGTTGGAAACTCGTTCCTAGTATAATAACCATATATGTGGTTTCTTATTGCATCTGCATCAAAAACATCAACACCTGTCACGGGCTTTTGTCTTCGTTTTTTCTTAGGAGTGCGTAAAACATTATCTTCACTTCCAGAAGCACCAAATTTTTCTTTATTTATATTATACAGGGTATTTTTGGAACGCTCCCGAAAACTAAGACAGGCGACAGCACCAAGTATACCTTTGATCATGGGTCACAAATAAATTCGATCCTGATGAAAAAAAAAATCATCTTTTAACAACGTTTTATTAGCTTTATTCACGCGCCATCATGTTAGTACAGCTAAATGAAACGATAATTTCATAAAAATATCATGAAAATACTGAAACATAAAACCAGCAGTGGAATGACTGAATTGTATCACCTGACTAAAGGTCAATGTACTCGCGAACGCAAATTCGCGCGGCCCGCAACTAGCGGGCCATACCACTACATACGCTAATGAAAAAATACTTAAATGAAATGTAACCAAGGTTGGAGTCATGCGTTTTTATTCATCGTGTAGGTATGTTTATTATTCTCATGTATTCAGTTATGTACCTATTCAGATTAGTTCAGTACTAAGTTATTTAAAAAAAATAGTTATGAAACAGCTTACCGCTCTAAATCCTCCGTGGTCTTATGAGATGCAGCTCAAATTGTGCTCCATTCATTTCAAGGTAGATTTGGGTGCAGGCGGGGCATCATCGTGTGGTCTTCGACACAGTCCGTACATAGTTTCTCGAAAGCATCCACGATCCTTTGGCGCATTTTGTCAGCACTATCACACTCACGATTAAAAACCCTTTCTTTCACATACCAAAAAGAAGTCTAACGGGGTCAGATCTGGTGAGCGAGGTGGCCAAGCGTGTGGTCCTAGTCTGCCGATCCAGCGATCATCAAATAGCTCATTGAGGCGCTCACAGACGAACCTCACGACATGGTATCGCTGTCTGTTCAGTCGCTGTGGCAGAAACACTGGTCCCAGTATGTGATCCTTAAATAAACCTGCCCATACGTTAACCGACCATCGGGTTTGGTGCCCGGTTTGTCGAACAGCGTGCGGGTTAACCTCTGAATACACGTGTGTAATTCTTCGGTTCCACAGGCCGTTTCTGGTAAATGTCGACTCATCCGTCCAGATAATGTGCTCAATGGAACCAGGCACACGTTGTCGCTGGTATAATAACCAACGGCAGAAAACTCGTCGGCGGACGTGATCGCCGGGAACTAAAGCTTGCACTTTGTGCAATTTGTATGGGCGCATTCGGTTACGCTTCAACACTTTGTGCACTGCACAGTATGACACAATTGTTCCATCCCGACGTCTTAACAATTTATTTGGCGATACTTCGTGTACCTGGGTTCGGATAACATGTTGCTGTATTCACAATCACTATAAAAGTACGCGTTAAGCATTATTAAAACAAAAAACGTAACAACAGGAATAATACCAACACGTAATCACAAGTAATAACAATACGATTGAGCTGTCGCTCGCGCACGCGTGTACAAAATCAACACGGAACTGTTTCAAAAACTACAATTAATAACAAACCCCAACAAAACTGAAACCTACTGCTAGGACAGTTATTATACTCTTTGTCTACTGCGTCACAGCGTGAGGCGACACGAGCCGACCGGGTTACATTCTACCGTCGTCGGGTTACATAAAGAAGGACGCAACTAACAAAAACGTAAAATGGAAATAAAAAATAAATTGATGAATTTTTCTTTCAGACCCTGTGTCTAAAGTATATTAAAAGGTATCTATATGAAAATTGAAATATATACGTAGAGACATGAAGATTTTAAGGACGAACAAATTTTTTGATAATTTGTTTATTTATTTAAATAAAACGAATTTTCCTTTTCACCTTAGCTTAAAAAATACACCTGGCAACACAAAAACATCGAAGGAAGAAGCATATAACTATTTGCGTCTTTCCAACCTAATAAATTAAAAAAAAACTGCCATTCATTTAACAATTTTACATATTTTGGAAAGGTCATTTGAAGTTGAAAGGACGCTAATAGTAATTTACTACTTTTTTTTTAATAAATATTAGAAAAGCATTGGTAGTGAGACACAAAAAATAACAACCCGCAACTCTTGAGTAATGATTTTAAAGGGGATATCATACAAGACTTACTACGATAATAATTAAAAATTAAAAATTTTGTACAACCGACTTTAATATAAATAATTAAGGATAACTCAAAAACTATTGGTCTGACCTCGATCAAATTTATATGGGACCACATGTGAAACACTAGCTCTTAACAATAAGATATAAGCTCTTAATAATAAGATATAGAATAATAAGACAAGACCAAGAATAATTGAAATTTAAGTAATCGATGCAAATATTGTTAAAGATGACGTAGCAACTGGTTAAATAAGTCTTTTCTTTTATGTTGAATTTGTATAAGTCTTTTCTACTAAAAAAAGTCATCTGTGATCAACAGTTACGTCTAAAATTCTTACGATAATTTCTAAAATATTGATATTTGTGAATATTAAAAAAAATTAGAAGATGCGCCTTCTTATCATGAATCGAATGGTATATTTAACTCATTTATTCATAAATTGTTAGATGCGCCCTTTTTTCATACGACCGCAGCATTGTTTCGTACCGAGCTAGATACAGGTCGATAGCGGAGGGGGTGTGGGTACAGTCGCGTTCTAAAGTACTACATGGTATTGGGCTATTGTTTTATAATATTATAGTAATTAATTGTTTTAATGTAGAATCATAATAGGTGTTTTACTAGCTACTTAGAACTTTGGAAGAGGTGGGAATTAAAAATGGATAATGTTTACATGAGCATTATTTGTTATTTCTATCGTAAAATATAAAGTAGTTTGTAACAAGAAAACTTTAGCTAAGGGTAACACGCCGTCCATTATGACATCTTGGGTCACATGGAAGCCAGATGTTAATGGTGTGTTGGTGTTACTGGATGCTACTTCATCATCACTTTCATCTTCGCTTGAGCTTCCGTCATCAGGTCGATCACATGGTAATTTTTTCGGTATTCTTCCTCCGCACTTTTAACTTTACTGCACAATTTTCCCCATTCACCTTCTCCTATCATATTTACCTTTTCGATCACTAGTTTAGTCATAAAACAATAGATATAAATAATTTTTCTTTCCTTCCTTTTTAAAACATCGCCGCGAGTCGCAAAGTAAGCTGTGTATGCGACTGTATTTTTGGAGCGAACAAAGCGCGGGAACCAATAGCATGCAGGCACACTAATACTGGCGGATTGTTCCCCCGTCGCGCGCCTTTCGTACAGCTCAGTGCCCAAATTCAAGGCCAGCGTTTGTTTTTCACCGTTCGCGCGTACATTAACCTCCATTAGTCAGGTGATATCAATTCAGTTTCCACTGCTGGTTTTATGTTTCAGTATTTTCATGATATTTTTTATGAAATTATCGTTTCATTTAGCTGTACTAACATGATGGCGCGTGAATAAAGCTAATAAAACGTTGTTAAAAGATGATTTTTTTTCATCAGGATCGACTTTATTTGTAACCCATGATCAAAGGTATACTTGGTGCTGTCGCCTGTCTTAGTTTTCGGGAGCGTTCCAAAAATACCCTGTATAGTGTTTTTGCACCAATTCCAAGAGCTTGTGAAACCCGATCTTTCACTTGAGTGACAGGAATCAAAGGGCCGCCATTTTGTGACTCACGCTCAAAGTAATCCTGTAGCTTTAGTACAAGCTCACGACATTGACTATTCAATGTTTTTCCTCGTTTCGGCATTTTCAACAAAATTACCAAACACAAACAAAATTAGTCCAATAAAGCGCAACGATAAACAGGAGAAAGCCGAGTCAAAAAACAACGATTACACAAGAGAACGTAGTCTGTGCGCACGAGAGTACGGAAGACGACTAAACAGATTAAAATAGCGGTGGTAAGGGTATTTCCAGAATAGTATCGCCAATTACTTAAAAAAATACACCTATAACATTGCTTAATTGAGGGAGAAAATTATATTTATTAAATGTTGTTTTATATATTATGAATGTTAAAAATTATACATAATCATTTTAATTGTATTTATTTTTCAATCATAGAAAACAGTATTTCTGTCTTTAGATCACACATAAATCTTAAAAATCATAGAGATACTGGCAACACAGTGCAATTAGGAGACGCAAAAAAATGGTAGCATTATAATCTAGTTGCTCGAAGGAATAAGTAAAATAAAAATATCCAAATAAAATAAATATCATATCTATTCCAATGAATTCGGACCGAATACTATCAAGCACATCACTATGAAAACTAGACGCACGATGTAACTTTGTACAAGCGCGCCAAAGAACAAAAAATAAATGTTTTCATATTATTTACAAACTATTTTAATTTTTGAAACAGAGTTTATTGGAAAATTACTTGATCCTGACATTTTGACATAAAGTTTTATATTAAAGAGGTATTCTAAATCATTCGGCAAATGTGTCGCTCGTGCAAGGTTATATCGATTAATTTAAGAATAATCTGTCAAATCGGTAATAACTCAGCGGCCGTACTATAGTAAAATCATTAATTTTGTCACTAAACGTTGGTCTATGTTTGATTGTGACAGGAGAAGAAATTTCGTCGTGTTCTTTATAGTCCTTGAGTATTCTATATACAGATGCAACGCCGATACCTAAAATACTAGCTGCTTTCTGCGCCATCTCTTTTCTGTATGGGTATTTATTTTTAGGCCAAGTTTCTTTAACATATTTGTAGGTATTAATAACCATATTTTTTTCATTCACAGTAAAACTAGTCACCCAAAATTAAAAATTAAATTAAAATGGTATACATACTTTACTTACATGCATCTTTAATAAATTAAGAAAAGTTTTATTATTACAGTTGATCTTTTTTAAATAACTTTAAGATAACTTTAAAGTGTACTCCGAAACAAGAAGTTTAAATTAATACTACTATTATATATTAATACTACTATATCCTTAGAATAATAACACCTAGAAGCCGAGTCCGCGTCTGTACTGTGAGGCAACTCTGAGGTGTTATTATTCTAAGTATATATCCTATTCCATTACATACCTTTGGACGTTACTTTTTCGGAGAAGTAAAATCTGTTGATTTATCTCTCGACGGACTTGGTTGTGGCTCCATCATTTTTCACTCTTAATAAAAAACAATTATCAACAAAACAAAATAACTATTATATAATAAAATATAATTAAATAAACAACAAAAAATAACCAACAATTTAACAAATAACTTGTATCACCACGAGCGCGTTCCGAAACGGAATGAATCGATGAATCACTATCTATACATATAATAAACATGTAAATAGCAGACGTCTGTACATTTTATATTTTTATAATAAAAGTGATTGAGAGATACTAAAAATAAGTAATTAAATACATTTCTACCGTTTTTAGAATTGTCTGTCTGTTTGTTTGTTAACGTATCACATATAAAGTACTAATTTATATCATGAGAATCGTTAAGTAAATTATAAAGTGTATCTTCAAGTTACATTTAGTCTTTATTTCATTATAATCAGTTCATTCCATCAAAAGTTATGATAAATATTCTGAAGTATGGGTACGAGGTATATGTACGAATTTGTTCAATGGTGGCGTTGATTAGATTAGAATAGAATAGAATAGAATATTTTTTATTCAATATACATTACATGTGTAATTCTTATTGAAAGTCATTTTTTACTTTACCACTGGTTCGAAAAAAAACCCTGTGTCCTGGGAAGAACCAGCAAGAAACCCAGCGGGACTTTTATTGAGTCATCAAGTGCATTTTAAACTAATATCATATTATAAATCATAATTAAATGATATTAAATAATGTTCTACAATGATATAATTATATCTAAAACGCAGTAACAAAAGTATTAAAGAAAAAGAACGTAATAAGTATATATGTAGGAAGTATAGTGGATATAGTACAGAGACTGATTTTGTAGTTAGGAATAATAATTAATTCGTTTACACGAATTAATTATCCAACGAGTCGAGGATAAACTAGTAACGCAATACGACAAGCGCACCGTTCCACGTCAGAGCCAAGACTGTCTTAACGGCGGCCGCTCAGTCCGTTTTATACAAGCAAGACGGGTGGCCGCGCAGGTGCAATGCCGCAGGTGTGCGGTACACGTGTCGTTTACAAGAATTCTGCCTAGCTAGACCAACGCCACCGCATCTACAACGGTGCAGGTGCCGTCACGGCCATACTGACATGCGTGCGTCCTCGCACGCGCTCCATCACAATTTTAGTTATCTGTAACAACTGTAATCTGTAAAACATCGTTCGATTATCCTGACAAAACAGCGTCTGGTCCGGTCTATATTGACCCTTCAGACTCGGGTGACAGTCCGTTTTGTTCCGGCAATAAGCCCTACAAAACTTTAATCATCTTTATGTTAGATCGGAATGATTAGTCTGTAGCCTTTTCTATTTTCTCTCTTTTTTTTTTTCAAGTACTGTTTTCGCTAGTCCGGAATAACTATTCCCTATAGCCATATCATTGGACCGGCAAAAAGCCCTGCAATGATAGTAAGAACTATTTTTTTTCTTACGCTTTTTTTTTTCAAGTACTATTTATGCTAGTCCGGAATCACTATTCCCTTTAGCTATATCATTGGACCGGCAAACGCCCTGCAATGATAGTAAGATCCACTTTTTTTTCTTACTCTCTTTTTTTTTCAATTCAGTATAGAACAGTTACAGACCAACCATACCGCAAACATGTCCCCGTTACAATCACACAAAAGTGATGATCACATCGTGAGGGGCGTAGTGACACGATAACACCTAAGTATGTAAACCAACAGCAACTCTACACATATCCCAGTGCAGCACAGACCAGCCTCCCTGCAACTTCATGTTCCTTTCCTGCCCTAGAATAATTACTTCGCTAGAGTATTGCAACGTCTCTAGTATTTTCTAGATGCACAAACACTGCTACCTCTGACTGTCGCACGTCCTCGTGCGGTTGACAGTGAACAGCATACGGTCTATCAGTTATCACCACCTGCTAACAGATATTAACTCTTGTTAAATATTACAACGGTCGAACATCCCAGACTTCATTTAAGTCTGGAACGCGCCGATATGGCTACCTCCAGACAAACGCACTATAGCTTTTCGTTCTGCTGCGTTCGTGCCACATTTGCGCCAGCAAGCAGTCGCGCCGTACTAGCGCTAGCGAATCGTAACACTGCTTTGCAAAATTAAAAGAAATCGAGATAAGTGTATTGCGAACCATGGAATTCCGAGCTTCCAATATTCATCACATATTCTCTTAAGAAACGGCAACTGTATGACATTTGAAAACATTGCAAAAAACGGAAACTATGTGTAGAGACGGATACCATCACATATTTCAAAGGGAAGGAGGCAACTGCGCAAAATCTACGAAAGCCGACCAAGCCTCAGACGTTCATTTACAGCACCAAAGGACCATGTGTTCGGCGGCCGCTTGAATTGTCTTACCGTAAGATCTGCCGATAAGTTACAGACTGTAGCGGTGTAGGCTCAATCTTACTAGCGCTCGGCCGTACCTGATTCGATTAGCCGTCACAACATCTTCCTCATTGATCATCGTTGTAGAGACTTCTACGAATCTCTCGACATCAAACCCCAATCTTGTCGACCATACAGTATTCGGAGCAAACTGCAATACTGATCAACACATTAGAACACAAAAATGTCACTTATTATTTTTAATTCATAGCGTGTTAAAGTTAATCCTTTATTGTAGTACAACCCTTAAAAGTTTTGAACTTCAAAATATAGCAAATGATAATCATGTTTCGCGTGAACTATCAAATTACAACAAAACGAGAGCAGCAGGAGCACCTGAGGGTTTACAAGCATCGTCGGGGTTGTAGTCATC